TGGACCTCTGCTAAGAAAGCTCAAACAATGCCGTACCAAACATAAATAAGCTATTTCAGATAGAAAAGTCTGAAATCTTTGGCCCTAGCACTGCGCACAAGTTACCTGTTTTGACAACTTACCACACTAGTTTCTGTTGCAGCTATTCGATTAAGAACTTTCATCATATTTGTCGGTGCAACAGGCTTGAAACTGTTGAATTTCATTTACAAAAAAAATGAATTAGCTTCTGATTTCTCGCTTACTTCAACGGAGGTTTAATGAGATAAAAGGTCTTACCTAATATTGGATATACACAACTCCTCTAGAATTTCTGTTGGGAATAGTGACCTCTGGTTGCTGTCTCCACTGAAGTTATCCGAGATTATAAATATAAGGGGACATCTACTTGTACCAATAAATCTCCTACATTGAAAAATAAGCAGGTGCAGCAAGAATCAAACCCCAGTTTACTGCAAGTGGCTAAAGGTAATCATTAAAAACTTATCTGAAACTGACCTGAGAATTTCATGTAGGCTGCTAGGGTCTCGATAGAATTGGTTAGGTATGTCCTATTCAAAAGAAATGAGCTGCTGTCATTACATTCAGATGTAAATTTTCTCTCCCACAGACTGACTGTTATGTTGCTAAACATTTTTTCTTCCTAGTTACCTTTCTTTCAACTAAATTTGAATGCGGGTAACAGTGAAAATAACCAGGGGGGAAAAAAACCCACAAAGAAAAAAATCCAAAGCATAGTATTTCTGTCTTTTATTATGGAATAAAAAATATCTAAAAATAAATAGTTTCTTTCTGTCCTTGTTTCTCAAGAAACAGCCTTGGGTGATTACACTGCCTGCTAGACAGTTTTACTGAAGTGGATAGTCACTTCCTCCATAGAGGAAGAGGGCAGGGTATACTGCTTGAGATATGAGAGGACCTACACAAGGAAGTGACATCACAAAGAGAAGTCACAGAAAACTATGCTTCCTAAATTCTACAGTACATCACATTACTCAGCTAGAATTTTTGTCTCATCTATTGTTTTTCTTGAAAGACTACAGACTTTCATAACTTACAAAATTCCTGTCAGAAAAAATGAAAAGCTCAGAAAGAAAACACTACTGAAACACACTCCTGGATAAGTAAGTACCAATAAAGTCTTCTCCTGCACCTTCTGTTAGGGCCTACAAACCCTCAGAGTTCACATCTCTGCCCTAAATAACACACCCCATATAAGACCAGGGAACGCTAATTTCAAATGCTTTCCAATTGTGTTAATTCTCACATATCTTCTACACTCTCCTGCATCTTTAAGCAACAAGAACAGTGGGTTTTTTTTTTCCCCTTTTCCTCTTTATGCACATATATATTCAGAAAGCTAATCATACAGAAACATGGGTATGACTTTCAATATTGTTTTTATCTGCCTTTTGATACTCTTAACTTCTGTGCACAAACCAGTCTCTAATTTCTGCCTCACGATTAGCTTATATTAACTACAGGTTAAAGTTTGTTCTAGACTGCTGTAGAGACTCAAAACGTAATAAAGAAGTCATCTGCAGTAAAGTAGACTAACTTTTGGCAACACCAATCCACCAGCTGAAGCTAGTTAGCATGTCAATATTATAATAAAGGTATTGTTCTCAAAACAAGACTTCACAAGTTTTCACTTACTTCAACAAGAATAAACTTTTTATCATTTTCTGAGGACTCCCCAAGCATCTGAAGTTTGTTATACTTATTTGCTCTTAATAGAAAATCTTGAAAGAGAGCGGCTTGGGCCTGACTTGGAAACATATGAAAATTTGAGTCTGAAAATGAAAAAAAATTAAAAATATGTATTCTATATTACACCAAGTAGAATACAAATACCCACAAGAACTAATACCAACCCATGCTATTTTCTGACAGTAGCCATTGAACACCAGCAGCCAAGCCCTTTGGCAAGCACATGACAAATACAAGAGAATTTTTAAAGGGCTGAATTCAATTGAGGACCCAGACAAAGACAGATTTATCCAATTTTATTTAATTAGGTCAAATGATATCCAGGCTATTACATAGCTCTCTATACTGATTTGAACTGCAAATTATTTTGGAGTAAACACTGTAAAAAAACTAAACCCCTTTTAAGATAAAAGCAAAAGAATGATTCTTACTTAACACTAAGGATCTGACTTATATGGATGTGGATCAGACTTCACGTGATGGACACAAAAGAATAAAAAAATACAGAATACAAAAAAATCACAAAAGTAACTGGAAGGAATTTAGAAAAAAAGAAAAGAAGTAAACAAAATACTTACCACGGCCAAACATATTTCTTAAGTCTTCTTTTGTGAAGTCTAAAGATATTGGATTGGTCCATTCTTGCACCTGAATGCCAAGATCTTTTGCTAATATTCGTATAGTTGCAGTCTTTCCAGAACCAGGAGGGCCAGTTAGCAGTAAAACAGAGCCACCCTGTCACAGGGCGGGAGGGGAAAAAAAAAAAAAAAAAAAGGCCAAACATGATAAATAAAGACTGAAAACTGGCTAAGGAGAATCTTGGTTGAATTTCTTCTATAGCTTCTCTGGTAATGATTCTCTTTTCCCAATAAAAACTGGGCCTGACTATAGAGTTAAATAGTTTGTTTTATTAATTTATCTGTTAAGTATTCAGATAGAAAGAGCTAGACCAGAACTCTGAAAGCCTTGTGCTCAGTTTTTCACGCATCTGTTTAGTCTACTGCACACCATGCAGACTACCAACATAACAGATACTGAACTGGAGAATCGTGTCTCTCATACTAGGCAAGACTGGTAAATGATGCATGTGTATAAGAATGCCTCTTAACAATCCAGAGGTTAAAAACATCCTATTACAGCAAGTCAGTGCAACTGGACATTTTCCAAGACATTTGAAATTAATCTGTGGGAGATAAAATGCAGTTACAAGCACACATCAAATAGGTATGAACTAACTGGATCCTGGGAAATAGTATTTCTGCATAAAATCAGAATCCACCTTTTAGCAGCACAAGCCCAAAACAAATGTACAAGCTCTCATCTATGTTCTTAACAGATTTGTTATAGTGCAATAGATATATTACCACTCCTTATAGGGGTCTCTCCGAAATGAAAATAAAATTGAATCCAGCTCATTTGTATGTGTTTATATCTCTAGCTGCTAATTCTAGCACGATTACCTGCTTCGGCTGCCTCTGAAATACGTGCGTTTTTAACCAGGTTTCAACTTCTTCAATTTTCTTCTTTTGCACAGCAAGGTCATTCTAGAACAAGATTAAAACGCATATATACACCTCTTGGTTTCTAAGACTGAAATGATGAGATTGAAGAACAAAACACATGCTGATTAAAATATTTACAGACATGTATGTGTATATTCCAGTTACATATGTTTATACTACATAGAAGTAAGTGCAACAGTTAAAGATAATTATTTCAGCCTGTCTCCTCAAACAATCTATTTTCTATTGCTTGCAGTTGGGAAATAATCAATTATTTATTACTCCCAAAGTAACAATATTACAGTCTTGCCTGCTTGTGTCAGTATACTTCATAGCTAGTGCTGGACCTGGTACTTTTCAGGCTCTACTGACTCTAACATTACATAGGTTTTTGTAACTTCTGCAAACCTCATGCAGCTTTCTCATCTTCTAGCCTTGTAACTCAATTTCTCCCCAGAGATGAGCTAATATGTAAATATAAAATGCAAGTACTACACTAACTTACTTACAACAACCAGCACTTCAATCTAAGAGACAGGTAACACACATGCTAATAGCTTTGAAACACACTCTGAAAAAGCTGTTCCATGAGGGGAACCAGCGGAGACATGTTTACTACAGATCTGAGTCCTTTCTCCTTGAAGCTCTAAGGTACCACAGTACCCCCCCACTCACAAAGTCATGCCTAAGATGCATCAAGCAAGCAAGAGATAGCGCAAATTGCAACTAGCCAAGTACTCGGAACATGCTAACAGATCAGCTAACTGCTGTCCAGTAACATGCAAGATAATTTTTGTTATCTTTCCCATAACGAGTGCACTAACTCAGCTCTCCCTCCCTTCTTTAGCTGTGGATTTTCCTAGTACTTGCAGCTGTCAGATCTGGCTGAAATTCAGTAATGGGTTCAAAAGCTTCAGAGCGAATGGACAAGAAGCAACATCACATCAGTAGCTTTATCTCCTCAGGAAGCCTGGTGAAAAATGCATCTTCTACAGATAAACAGCCCATTAAAGTCTTAACTGTGGGCAGTAAATAAATCAAATCAGTACTTCACGGCCCTAATAAAACAGGATATGCTTAGAACCTGACCAATACAAATTATGAACAGAAGCACAACATACTACACTATAATGTTACACCATAACATTACTACGACATAACACTTGGAATAACTCTCACACCTGAGTCTCAGGTTTGTATCTATCTACCCACGGCTCATCATGAGATTGGCTCCAGTTTTGTCTGGGCTTGTTACAAGGCAGGTCTACTGAAGACGACTTTGCTCTTTTTCGAGGCAGAACTTTGGGGTTGCAACTTTCTGGCACAGAAGACAGGTCTTTCTTCTTCTGCTGTCGCTTTCTTCCAGAGTTGCCTTCTAGTGGCTTCACAGGAATGGCACCAGAAGAAATACTTGTGTTTCCAAAGAAGTCATCAAATGAATGTGCCAACCAATCTGTTACCTGGTAAAATACAAACATTTTGCTATTAATGTAGCATGCTCCCCTCCTAACGGGGTATAGCTGTCTCTAGCAAACTGGAGATTTTCATCAAGTGTATAAAAGAGTATCTCATAGATGTAAAGAATATCACTAGCGTTAGAAGGCATACTACCAGTTAGCAACAAACACGGGCATTTATGCTTCTTGAATGTGTCAGTTACATGCTTCTTCAATATTAAAACAAAAAGCTACACCTTACACATTGTGATAAGAGTATTTTGCAGCAAACTGGCAAATCAGAACAAGTTGACAATTCTGCAAACACACATTCAAACTGAAGAAGCAAAACTAAAACAGAGATAAGACCTAAAAAATAGCTTAAGCTTATTTACACTATTTTTACATTAAGGTCAAGTTCATGTTGTCTCTGTATAGGTTTCAGTATGTGGCTTTTTTTTTTTTTTTTTTTTAAACACTTACAGTGCAACCATTTGTGTTTAAAAGTTAGAAATAGGCAACAGAGAAAAATCATCCAGGCAGCACAATAAAATAAAGTACTACTCTTTGTCTGATGTGTGAGGAAGCTTGAACTGATCTAGAATCAGACTGTCATATGTATCAGAAGTCTGTCTGACAGCGACAAGGAATGAAACTTCTAACAGTGTCCGTGTTTAGTTCTGGATTTGAGGAATGCACTGCTAGGGTAGGTGTATGAACTTGCACCCCAGAGCCACTTTTCAGCCTTCCTACAGTCCCAAAGTAATACCCCAGTCATCACAGGCTTTCCACTGCTAACAATCAAACAATAACCTTTTAGCATAGGAACTGTAACAGGCTACATGCCAAAACACGCTTCTGTGAAAACAGGAGTAACAGAATAGCCATGTCATTTCCAAAAAGGTCTTGGAATATTCTACAGTTTACATGCCTTTTAAATTAATGCCACCAGACCACTACCAGACCAAAGAGTATCTGAGAATAAAAAACATTAGCAAATGGCAAAGATTAATTTTTTCTGCACGGTTTGCTTTTAATGTTACTCTGACAAAAGCTAATTTTAGTTGAATTTGCATATTTACCAGTGGGCAGATACCACCATCTCCGGGGACTCCCTTTTAACATATTGCAATAGTAAGTCAGAAAATAAACACCTTACAGACAAGAGGGGGAAAAAAAAGAAAAAAAGAAAAAAAAAAATAAAAAAAAAAAAAAAAAAAAAAAAAAAAAAAAAAGAAAAAAGGCCGCATCTGAAGAGGAACTGCCAACACAGAGACCAAGGAGTAATTCTCGGGCCTAAAAATACTGGCAATCGGAGCCGCCGGGCTCTCCCCAGAAGCTGCAGAGCTTCCGCAGGGCAGACCTTCCACCCAGGGACACCAAGCCCCTATCCCCCACGCCACCACCACCCAACCCCACGCGGCC